CGTACTAAAGCGTACTAAACTGTACGCTTGTCTTCTTGGATGTACTACACTGTACGCTTGTATTCTTGGGTGTACTACACTGACAATTTTCTTATTGGGTGTCTCTGACCGTACAGTGTCATAACAATTGTGAACAGATAAATCCCATTACCCGTTACTCCACGCCGTGCTGTGCTTACTGCACAGGTACAGTCATGTACACATGGTGCACTGACCTCACCCAGGCACAAATATTACCTGATCCTGCATTCCGTACTGCACTGGTACAGTCATGTACACATGGTGCACTGACTTCACCCAGTCGCAAATATTACCTGATCTTGCATTCCGTACTGCACTGGTACAGTCATGTACACATGGTGCAGTGACCTCACGCAGTCACGAACAGCTGGTCTCGTGTACGTATTTGTATGCAAACTTTACGCTACTCCCACCAGTTTCATGTTGGCTGCTTATGCACGCTTTAATCACTGAACTGGTATGTATTTTTTTACAACTATAATTATTATTTAAAACCTATATTTGTTGCGGACTATTGAAAGCTTTAAAAACGCAATATTTATCTGGTTGAGGAATAATTGAATATTTCTGCCATCCAGGGTGCACTTCATTTTTTCTGTATTCCCAGACAATACGTTTTCTGTAAGGAAACCGTGAAAACATACAGTATGTATTTAAACAATACAGGTATTTAATTGTTCATCGATATTCATAAGTATATACATTCCAAATATGTATAAAGACATTTAAAGATACAGTCATATCTTCGAACATGAAAGTTGAGCTTACCAAAATTTGTTCCTTCTCCTAACCTAGAAGTTGACTGTACAATGTACATGCAGCCGACAGACTATGAATGAAACCGAGATTTGGCAAAACCTCGCGAAACCAAACCACCACTCATAAGCAAAATTAAGGTTGCGTTCACAAGAATATTCAAGAACTAACTGTTTCGAAGAATAGGTTAGAGTTAATAACTGAAGATTGTTGCTGTATCTCTTCAAGTTTCGCATTACTGGCTGACAATTTGCTCAACTTGAACTCGAGTTCTAACAGTTGAACAGCCACGGTTACCAGTTGAAAATGTTGATGTAGAATACGACCGTTGGCATCGTTATGAGATAGTTTCGACTGAAGTGTAACTGCGCTCGTACTAAAAGGAATGAGTGTGCCTTTATTCAAATTGAGATATTTTTTCCACTTGTGTGGTTCATCTCCACCCATTTTGACCCGTTAAAAAGAGTTATCAGTGCAATGTGTAGGAAGTATGTCGCTTTTTAGACAACAGGACCCATTCATTTATCTAAATGGATGCTTGGTTGAGAAAATATATTAATTTAACCACAGCTTTTCCCATACCATGATCAGATTTATCCAGTTGAGACAGAACTGACAGTCCCTTATACAAGTGTAAGCTAAGAGTTTACACGCTTCGTTGTCAGCACAAGTTCGGGAGACTACAACGCACCTTAGGTAACGACATTGTGGTCCGTGGTACCACGGCACGACTGTTATCACCGATACCCGTTAGCCAGGCATTTGCTGCTCTGGCTTTAACTTCGTACTAATTTTGGAGGTATTTTTAGCGCATTTTCTCATTTATGAACAAAATGCACTATTATGCTCGCCATGTCCGTCTGTCCGTCTATCTGTCCGTCCGTGACTTCACGTTTTCGTCGACGAGAAAATACGCTCTCTGTCACTCACTGCAGTGAGTACTGAGTTATATTTTTGTATTCATTTCGTCAGGTTTTTGGATTAGGTTACGCACTTTGGCTACGGCCTGGATCGGGATTCTTTGTTAGGGGAACAACGATGAATACAACTCTGTCAAATTGTTGCGTCGATCTGAATATGAGGCGCGTTGCTAAACCATGATGATGAAATAGTATTAGTGATGTTATTAATAGTTTTCACAGTTAATTATTATCTGAATTGAACCAACTAAAGCTATGCTTGCAGTCTGGCTACTTGGCTCTGCTGAACTCGATTGTGTACCTTGACTCGTGTTGAGGCTGTTGTACTGGCGCCAATGTCACTTATGGATATCCTGTAAGGATTCCCTTATATGTACAACTTCACTTTTACATATCCTGAAAGGACTGAGTAAACTCATATAAAATTCGTTAGACCACTGAGTAACTCGGTGTGACCACTGAATTATGCATGGGTGACCACTGAGTAACTGCACGGATGCTTATCATGTACTCGACTCGACTCAACGTAATTAGTAAATTCAGTAATATTTATCACGTTAGAACTGCGTACCTACCCACGCAGGCATCTGTCGATGAAAGAACCTGAATTATTATTACTAATCAGCAATCCAATTGATTGTTGATTAACTAATCATCTGAATATATATCATGTAAGCAAATTTTTGAACCGGTTTCTTTTCGCTTGCTTTCTCCTGCAAGTTAATTCTAGTGAGGTTCGGATGTTTTTGCCATTACAAATAGCTGCTACTAGTGCTACTATTACAAGTAGCTGTCCTTGTGCTACTGGTAGTGTTTTATTACTTTTTCTGGGGCTTTTGCGACTCGATAACTGAGTGAGAAAATCACATGGTTATCTCCATCGTTACCGTCGCGGTTATGTCACTGTTTTCATCTCAACAGTCGTTACCGTTACTTTTGCTGTTAGTTTCACTTAGCGTTATTTCATCGCCTTTTTAGCGCATTTTCTCTTTTATGAAAAAATACACTATTGTGCTTGCCAGTCCGTCTGTCTGTCCGTGACTTCACGTTTTCGTCGACGAGAAAATGCGCTCTCTGTCACTCACTGCAGTGCGTACTGAGTTATACTTTTAATGTTGTAATCACTGTTGTTGTCACTGTTTTCACTGTTGTGTGTGCTGCTGCCGCTGCAAGCAGTCCGTGTGGCCGTGGCCTGCGGTGCTGCGCCAGCGTGGGAACACTGCAATGCGTACACGACATGCGTACACGACATGCGTACATGATGTACGTACATGATATGCGTACATGATATACGTACATGACATGCGTACACGATATACGTACATGACATGCGTACACGATATGCGTACATGGCATGCGTACATGATATACGTACATGACATGCGTACATGATATACGTACATGACATGCGTACATGATATACGTACATGGTCTGTGTACATGGCCTGCGTACACGACATGCGTACACGGTCTGTGTACATGGCCTGCGTACACGATATGCGTACATGGTCTGCTTACACGATATGCGTACATGGTCTGCTTACACGATATACGTACGCTACCTGCGTACACATTCGTACGCAATCCACATTGCGGCCTTCATACACGGTCTTCATAATAACACGTTAAACGAATGCGCCTTTCTTGTACAGTCTCCGGACGAGGTCTACGTGCGCACCCTGAGTACTTAGCATTCCTGTCTATCTTAACAATCTGCGCACGGTCATCGTACATGCTGTCCGTACACAATCTACATACATGGTCACCGTACGCCATCTACATACATGGTCTCCGTACACAATCTACATACATGGTCTCCATACGCAATCTACATACATGGTCACCGTACACCATCTACATACATGGTCACCGTACACAATCTACATACTGTCTCTTATACACATCTAGATGTGTATAAGAGACAGCCGTATATCTCGCACGAAGACCGGCTGCAAGCCGCCGTATATCTCGCACGAAGACCGGCTGCAAACCGCCGTATATGTCGCACGAAGACCGGCTGCAAACCACCGTATATCTCGCACGAAGACCGGTTGCAAACCTCCGTATATCTCGCACGAAGACCGGTTGCAAGCCGCCGTATATCTGGCTCGAAGACCGGCTGCAAACCGCCGTATATCTCGCACGAAGACCGGCTGCAAACCGCCGTATATCTTGCTCGAAGACCGGCTGCAAACCGCCGTATATCTCGCTCGAAGACCGGCTGCAAACCGCCGTATATCTCGCTCGAAGACCGGCTGCAACCGCCGCATATATCTCGCTCGAAGACCGGCTGCAACCGCCGCATATCTCGCTCGAAGACCGGCTGCAAACCGCCGTATGTTTCGCACGAAGACCGGCAGCAAACCGCCGTATATTTCACGTATAACGCACTGGCTTACGCCGCCGCTGGTCGTAACGGGACGGAGCTTAACTGGGCTTTGACCACACATTTGTATTTAGCAGCAAACGGCCGCTGTTTTCGGGTAACAATTATTTTCTCCTTCCTGTAACAGAGGTAAGCTTATATTCTTATGTCTGGTCTGCCACTTAGTTTTGATCTAATGTAAGTTGGAAATTTAAATTTTTTATTGATCGGGAATTACTGCTGCGAGCAACTGGACATTTCACTAAAATGTTTTTTTCCAAAAATCTTATGTCAATTTATTTTAATATACTGACAATATTGATGCAAAAGCGTTCTTTACAACACTCACAATTCACCTGGATAACCCAGATATTTATTACCATCGTTACGGTGTGACCGTATCTCTGATGCATCCACAAGTTACTATTAGTATTACTTATACGTTCATAGTCAGCTTTATTGCTATGCCTAGCAGGTCTATTCTTGCGAACCGTTCAAGGTTTCATCCATCGGGTGCATGACTTAATAACGTATTATTCCCTTTAGTTATATTAGAGAATTGATACAGAGTTACTTATTTGGGATTTAATCTTTGACATGGATATTATATAATTTGTCAGAGCTTGTATACAATTTGTATTTTTAAATGATGTATGTGACAGGTAAGCTCATGATTAACATGCTCACTATGATGTATTTATGGACTGTTGATTGTGTGAACGTAGATTATTGTGTGGACTTTGTGATGTGTGTGTGGACTTTGTGATGATTGTGTGTATTTTGTGATGATTGTGTGGACTTTGTGATGTTTGTGTGGACTGTTTACATTTTGTTGTTCAATTTCATTTAGTGTTTCCTGCTCCATTGTCTTCGGTCTATATCGAGCAAATGCTCATGTTATTCCTACGTATATTTGTAACAACTTTGTTTTTTTTCAGTTCTCCGAGTCTGGAAAGTCTGGAAATGACAGAGACTTGACAGAGGAACCTACGGGGCATGCTGCCGTCTCTGACGACCTGTCTCTGCCTCTGTCTATTGACAGCGGCCTCGACCTCACGGCAGACGGAAAAGTGAGACAGTGATTAGGAGTAGCGAGGGTCTTTAGTGGCGAGTGCCACGAGTAGCGAGTGCCGTGAGTGGCGAGTGCCGTGAGTAGCGAGGGCCGTTAGTTACGAGGGCCGTGAGTGGCGAGGGCCGTTAGTTACGAGGGCCGTGAGTGGCGAGGGCCGTTAGTTGCGAGGGCCGTGAGTGGCGAGGGCCGTGAGTGGCGAGGGCCGTGAGTGGCGAGGGCCGTGAGTAGCGAGGGCCGTGAGTGGCGAGGGCCGTGAGTGGCGAGAGCCGTGAGTGGCGAGAGCCGTGAGTAGCGAGGGCCGTGAGTAGCGAGGGCCGTGAGTGGCGAGAGCCGTGAGTAGCGAGGGCCGTGAGTGGCGAGGGCCGTGAGTAGCGAGTGCCGTTAGTTACGAGGGCCGTGAGTGGCGAGGGCCGTGAGTAAAAAGCCGTCCAAAAACTTGTCCAAGTAAATTTTTTTTGTTTTACGACCATGATTGGCATTTGAAGTCGTTCGATTGCCTCAAAAAATGATTGGAAACCACGTGTCGTAGGACTCGGAGTTTGTCGTAACAAATTATAAAATAACTTAAATACCTAAAAATGTCATTCTCATTATGGAGATTTTTTACGTTTCATAATAAAATTTTCTTAAAAATTATTATAAACTCTATAAAATGTATAACAAATTAAATTCTACCAGAAAACGCGTCTTTCTGGGCCTGGCAAGAACACATCTGGGCCAGCATCTCCAGGTTCATCCAGCAGTTCGGTGGTGAGTCCAACTGGATCGCGACCCAGCAATAGCCCCGACCCCGAAAACAAACAAATGTCAGCATCACTTCAGTCCAGTTCAGTTCAGTCCAGTTTGTCGTCTAAACCTGCCATAAAAGCTAACAACGTGTCGGTAGAGATGGAGGAAACCTCAACTTCTAAGTTCGAGGATGCAGAAGCGGAAGTTGAGCGACTCCAGGAAGTTGTTGCTAACTTAGATCATTACTTAGCGTCGCCTGAGCAACTTGAAGCGGCGCTGTTGCAAGCTATGGAGGTGAGAACACTAGCTATTTAACTAGTTTATTATAAAGGTTACTATTTCAATATTGTTACTCCTAATTTACAATGCAATGCCTTATATACTCATCAATTTAGTCTACTATTTTGATTAAAGTATAGTCAGCTATACAGTTGAGAATCTAATACGTATCTAAGTTACCGAACCTAAAACTACAAGAATCGCCATTTATTGCTGTTAACAATTAACGTAGAAGTACCAGAATATAGATAACTTATTTTTTACTTGCGTACCACTAATTTGTTCAGAGAAAGTTGGCTAGTTTTAATGCTATTGAAGAGCTAAATGACTTTAAGGATCGCTGCATCGAACATTCACTTCAAACCCCAAAACTCATTACAGTTGTCGCGTAGAAATTTCTTCAGTTTCCTTCACTTCAAAATTTCTACTGCATTCGCACTACTGGATGCTCGATGAGATTTTACACTCCTAATAAATTAAATTTCAGTTCCAGAAAACTTTTAATCAATAAGAGAATAAACTTTCGTGTATGAGTACATTATCAATCGTTAATGCTACTCTTATATGTCTATGCTTAACAGCAGTAGACAAAATGTTGTATAAGGATATATTATCCACTGTAAATGACATTCGTATATAAAAGCATAGTAACTTTAGTTCCGTCAGTATACGAAAGGTCAAGTCAACGAAAGTTTCACATTATTTCCCTCCGAATTTCTCCAGAAACTGCGGGCTATGGACGCGTCAATCCAAAACCTCGAGGTCAGAGTATCGAGTTTGTCGGGTGAGAATCGTTATCTCTCCGACGCCTTGTCAGCTCTGTCGGATTCCCATGAGACTCGTACCGAAGCGTCGGGCACTGAATCTGAGATGGTGAGTCGCAAGACTCCGTCCCTGCACTCGGATCTCAGTGACTCAGAGAGCGATTCGTCAGCGACAGATTCGCGTCCGACCAAGAAGCGACTCGAAGTCACGTCCAGCTTCCAGGAGTCCGGGATATTCGACGGGACCTGTGACGTCACACACGCTGCGACACAAACGGAGGTATAATCGGAATATTCTTTATTTTCATATTTTTATATTAAATCCTCTACCGCCTGACATGAGTAACAGTAGAAATATTGTCACAAGCCTACTTGTCGAAAAGGATACATTCTAGTGAGGGCAAAATGACTTGCACTGATGGTTGCCGCCACGTACGACAACTATAAAATGTTCTCTGTTGCGTACAAACGTCCTCAGCTGTCTCTTATACACATCTAGATGTGTATAAGAGACAGGTTGGGAGCAGCAGGTGTGTTGGGAGCAACAGGTGTGTTGGGAGCAACAGGTGTGTTGGGCAACAGGTGTGTTGGGAGCAGCAGGTGTGTTGCTGTCTCTTATACACATCTAGATGTGTATAAGAGACAGGTCCAGAGGTGAGGCTGATGATGGTGTACGATGAGAAGTGCGAGCTGGAGGAGGCAGAGAACGATGCCCGCCTCATGGTCCAGAGGTGAGGCTGATGATGGTGATAGTGTACCATGAGAAGCTTGAGCATTCATTTTGCAATCAATAGAATGACAATCAATGTACCATTTCTACCTAAATATCAATCAATGCCCCTGTCACTACTACGAGAGTCAGAGGTGGGCAGTAGCGCGCTACATGTAGCGGCAGCTACAGTTTTAGTAGCGGTAGCGCCCGCTACATTTAAGCAATTGTAGCGGTAGCGGTAGCGCCCGCTAAATTTAGAGCATGTAGCGGTAGCGGCCGCTACATTTCAAAGTAGCGCTGCCCAGCTCTGACGAGAGTGTGTCGTGTCGCAGGCTGGACTCTCAGCTGACGGCGGCGCGGGAGATGGAGTTGCTGCTGAGCGCTTCACTGTCGCAGGAGCAGGAGATCTCCAGGGACCTGCAGGACAAGGTTAGGGAGCAGCAGGTGTGTTGGGAGCAACAGGTGTGTTGGGAGCAACAGGTGTGTTGGGAGCAACAGATGTGTTGGGAGCAACAGGTGTGTTGGGAGAGGTCTTTACGCATCGAATGATATGTGTCTCGATGTTGTAGCTTGAAAATCCTAGGAGGAAATAGGTTTTCTAAAGTACCCCTTTTTGGTCGTTTTCTAAGAATTTCACATTTTCTTTCAATTCTTTTTCGAAAAATTGACACGAATAAAACCTGTTTTATTTTAGGGTTTACACATGTGTACCGAATTTCAGATTGATCCCTCTGTAAATTACTGAGATCAATTTTAGGCGAGACGCTCCCTTTAACCAATGTGATTTATCGTAAAAAATGTGATTTACCTTAACAAATGTGATTTATTTTAACCAACGTTATTTATAATGTCCAATATGATTTATAATGTCCAATATTATTTATAATGTCAAGTGTGATTTATCGTCACCCCCGCTGCCCTAGTGCTGCGTGGTGCCGGCGGTGCCGCGAGACGGCCGAGGTGGACGCAGGCGAGGCGCGGGCGCTGAAGGAGCAGCTGCGCGTGTCAGAGGCCGCGCGCCGGGCGCTGTACGATGAGAAGTGCGAGCTGGAGGAGGCAGAGAACGATGCCCGCCTCATGGTCCAGAGGTGAGGCTGATGATGGTGTACGATGAGAAGTGCGAGCTGGAGGAGGCAGAGAACGACGCCCGCCTCATGGTCCAGAGGCTGTCTCTTATACACATCTAGATGTGTATAAGAGACAGGAGCAACAGGTGTGTTGGGAGCAGCAGGTGTGTTGGGAGCAACAGGTGTGTTGGGAGCAACGAGGTCTCAAGCAGAACTTGGCAGCACATTTTTGCTTCGCTAATATCATCCTCAATTTGCCACCGAATCTCTGTCAGTCGTTGTAAGGAAATACTTTGGTTTTTGTCTAGTTAGTAACTTATCAAACTAATTTATATACCAATTGCACTTCCGTCTTCCATTCATCCAAGCAACAGAGACATGGCGCTGCCTGAAAAGCGCAATGTTGGTAACTCGCACTCAAAACAAATAAAATATAATCATAAAGTATAACTTTTATTTTAACTACAACGTTGCCTGCTTTTATGAAACGTTAATTAAGTTCCTCCTCCACTCCTTGCAGGTATCAGAGAAAGAGCGCTGCCTAAGAATGGTCATGATGGAGAGGGACAACTTCAACCTAAACATGGACGACAGAGTTGTTAGCCTCGTGCTTGACAAAGACTCTTACGCATCCCAGCTTCTCTTCGTGAAGCACAGTCTTATTTTATTGCAAGTCTTCCGACACTTCCAGCTTCACAACACCAACATGTCGATCGACGTTGACGGACATCGAACTCCTGATGGCGGGTTGGATGGCTTAGATGAGGTCTTGCCTTCACGTCTTGATAAGTTAGAGGATCACATGGACTTGGATACGCTTGGAGATTCTGATTGCTCCGGTGAAGACATAAATGATTCTTGTGATCTCATCATCGCAAATGAGGACCCTGATGTTCATGGCTCCTCCGAGAGGGGGGATCTGATCGACAGCGCCATCGATGAAGCCCTCATGCATATTTCCTCAACAGGGTCTCAAGAATTGGACTTTTCGTCGTCGTTTTTGTCGCTCGATGAAATGATCGGAAGTCCTAAATTCCCCGACTTTTTGGTACCCGGTCTTGTGGACGTGAGTGTTCAGACCGAGCCTGAAGTGCAGCGAAACCAGGTTCCATTTACGAATATTGAAAACACTTTATTATTGACACCAAATCTTCCTTATGAAAGTAATTCATCAGAATCAAGCAACCATCATGATGACATCGAACGTCAGCCTGAAAACCATTCCAGTCACTCCGACTTTTCAGCACCTAAAGTTAGTCTCACCAGTCAAGGCAGTCAGACTGCGGCTGTGCAGAAGCCTCTGGTGCAGAACAAAGGGACGATGACGGTGCAGAAAGACCTCTTGTCACAGCGTGAAGATTTGTACCTCGGCCAGATCGAGACTCTCCAGCAGGAGAAGATAGCGCTTAGGAAGGTGGGTGTTGTATCTCTAACTTCATGTATATAATAAACAACATGTATATGATATATTCGAAAGTTGGGTGTTACATCTCTATTGTCATTTATATGATATACATGATATACAACATGTTTATGATATACATGATATACAACATGTATATGATATACATGATATACAACATGTATATGATATAAAGACCATGTAAGAATAATAGTCTCTTAACTATTTAATATATATAGACAATAATTCTTATTATAGAATTTCATGGCATATGTATCAATATTGTGAGAAAAACTCTATGCGTGCGTTTCTCAATCAAATCTGGTTTGGACTTAAAGTCTGCCGTTGGAGAAATTTCTGAAGTACTAAAAGCTGCTTACCTTATAATTGTTGGCCCTCTTGATGTGACAATATCCATAACCTTCCTCCCACCCTTTGTTTTAGATCTCCACTAGCATTTTCTACTATTTTTTCATCCTCCACCCGAACCCTCTTTTCACCGTGCGCTTTTACTCTTTTATTTCCCAACCTCTCCTCTTTTACCTACCTTCCTTAGCCTTCGATTTCCCCCTCCCATCCTGTTCCCCCCTTCCCCTTCCTACCCCCCCCTTCGTGCTGCAGGAGTGCGAGCAGGAGCGAAGTACCTCGCTGCATGCGTGCCGTGCGCTGCAAGAGGCGCTGCAGGAGGCGCAGGAGCAGGCGCGCGCAGGCGAGCGTGCGCGCGCTGAGCTGCAGTGCGAGCTGGACGAGCTGAGCGAGCAGCGCGACGCTGCCACCGTGCAGCTCAACAAGCGCATCCAGCAGCTCACAGCTGACCTTGCACGCTCCAGGTCAGCCGTTATTTTTATTCTATTTTATTATTCTATTTTAATTATATTCTCTTATTCTATTTTAATGCCAAATATCAGGGATATTTGAAGAGTGATATCGTCTATTATATCTATATTTAAAAGCTTTCAAAATTAATTCGTCAATAGATGTGATGACTGTATTTTATATTGATGCTAAATATTACTGCTATGATATTAGAGCACTAATAACTGTAACTCTATAATATTTAATATAATAATGATGATTGTACAGCGACTTATATATTGATGCTAAATATTACTGCTATGATATTTAACAAATAATAACTATAACTGCATAATATTTATTATAATAATAATGATTGTTCAGCGACGTGCATGAGGCGGAGAAGGCGGCGTTGCGGCGGGACTACGACGCGCGGGTGGCGGAGGTGGCGGCGGAGCGGCGGCGTTACGCCGAGCGCAGCGCGCAACTCGAGCGCAACCTGCGCGACCTGCGCACCGAACTGCAGGTGGTGGTGGTGGTGGTGGTGTGGTGGTGGTGGTGTGGTGGTGTAATGATGGTGTTGCAGGTGTATTGGTGTACGTGAGATGTCACTAAGAAAGTGTGGAAAAGACACAAGACACCAGCCGCCGATGCACTTTGTGTATTGTATTGTTTGTGTGTGTTTGTTTACTGGTGTGTGTTTACTTGTATTATAACTGTTTACATCTTGTTGGGGTAAATTGAATTTGGGGTAATTTAGCCTAACGGAAAATTACCCCAAATAACCTTTGGGATAATTTAGCCTAGAGGAAAATTACCCCATATAACCTTTGGGGTAATTTAGCCTAGAGAAAAATTACCCCAAATAACCTTTGGGGTAATTTAGACTAGAGGAAAATTACCCCAAAAAACCTTTGGGGTAATTTAGCATATAGGAAAATTACCCCAAATAACCTTTGGGATAATTTAGCCACTCCTGGAATACAAGTTTCTGTCCACAGGTGGTCGGGGTGGCCATGGTGGCGGACATGACAGGCTTTGAAGGCCGTCCACACGATGCTAATTCAGCGGCCATCAAGGCGGACATGGAGGACGGAGGCCAGCAGGAGGCCGACCACGATGGACAGAGCAGCGACATGATGGACAAGATAAGGCGGCTGGTCAAGTCAGAGGCCGCCGCCAGGGCAAAGATAATAGAGCTCGAGAAAAAGGTTAATAAGATAAGATACCTAAGATACGATAATAAAATGAGATGAGATATCTAAGATACGATAATGAGTTAAGATAACCTAACTAATATAATATAATTCAGAAAAATAATAAAAAGGTAACCATACCATCTATACATACCATGAGCTATCTTATGGCTTTATGGTTTAACTTTATTATATTTCGCTATAAAATTATTGACCTTACAGTTCCCCTCACCATTTTGACCCTCAATGTAATGACCCCACCCTCTTGACCCACCTCTTGACCCACCCTCTTGACCCACCTCTTGACCCACCTCTTGACCCACCTCTTGACCCACCTCTTAACCCACCTCTTGACCCACCTCTTGACCCACATAGGAGAGCGCGTACCGCCAGACCATCCAGGAGGCGGACGCCATCATGCAGCGGCACGTTGCCGTGTACACGACGCGCATAGACGAGCTCGAGGCCTCCCACGACCTCTGCCAAGCACGACTAGCGCAGCTCACGGCCTCTGAGGCACGGTGCAGGTAATGGTCGTGAGTCTGGTTAGCTGGTAATGCAGGGTCTGGTTACCTGGTAATGCTAGGTCTAGTTACCTGCTAAGCCACGACCTCTGCCAAGCACGACTAGCCCAGCTCACCGCCTCAGAGGCACGGTGCAGGTAATGGTCGTGAGTCTGGGTTACCTGGTAATACTGTATAGGGTCTGGTTACCTGGTAATGCTAGGTCTAGTTGCCTGCTAAGCCACGACCTCTGCCAAGCACGACTAGCCCAGCTCACCGCCTCTGAGGCACGATGCAGGTAATGGTCGTGAGTCTGGTTACCTGGTTACCTGTTAATTAGGGTCTGGTTACCTGCTAGTGCAGGCCCTAGTTACCTGCTAGTGCAGGGCCTGTTTACCTGCTAGTTCAAGACGCAGGTGCTAGTGAACCAGGCATGATAGTGTAGGAGACAAACCTAGGCCGCACTAGCTAGCCGCGTCAGTTTCGCATCCTTGACTCGTTAGGACTTATCCATGTTTTAAATGAACATTGATGATCGTGTTATGTAAATGTTGGATATTGTTTTGTATAATGTGCTATTTAACAATCGGATATTATTAATGATAATGTATGTGATAATAATTAGATTATTAGTCTAATATTAGATTAATTTGACTTTACGCAGATCTACCCTGAAGAACAGTTGTCGCAGCGAGCAGGACGCGCGAGTCTCGGAACTCATCGAACAACTTCTGAACACTGAGAAGTCGGGGCTCGAACTTAAGGATAAACTCTGGAGACTTGAGAAGAATGAGAAGGAACTTAAGATTAGGGTGAGTGCTTTGTGGAACTTAAGGATAAACTCTGGAGACTTGAGAAGAATGAGAAGGAACTTAAGATTAGGGTGAGTGCTTTGTCTTGATTTTTAATAATGGTAAGTGCTTTGCCTTGATTCAAAATTAGGGTGAGTGCTATACCGTTATTCACAATTGAGGTGAGTGCTTCATTCATCATCTTGATTGATCATCACTATTAATTATGAATTTTAATGTTGTGGCAATCCTATTGTCTTCGGCAATGGACACTTGAAGTGCTTCTAGGAAGCTTTTTTTTTCTAGCGTTAAATTTCAGCAGTAATCAATAGGATGTAATTTAGCCCTCGCTTATATTGTCATGATTAAACATATTTTATATGGACGTTAAAACGAGTCTATATTTTATTCATAATCCTTTCAATGCTATTTAAATTGTAATGAACCCGACGGGGCTTATTACTATCATTTAATTTCTTAATCGATATTTAATCGAGTATTTATAAAGCCTAGGTTTTAACCATGCTGCCGGAGTGCATTAAGCTCGGTGAGTTTGCCGCTTATGAACGTTTGTTTAAAAATAACAATGAGATTGATATCTATTATTAAAATTATCTTCTAAATTTTTAATAAACTGGCGATTTAAGCAAACAAGTGACATCAATTCATCAATGAACAAACGGTAGTAATTCCTCTTAACACGTTGACTCCGAAGTGGTAATATGCGTACCACAAAATGTATTTCTCCAGGACGTAGTGGTACATAATTCAGGTTGCCATAAATCGGCCAAATCCGAGAACAAAAAAGGCCAAAAAAGGCCAATAACTTAATATATACTGGTTTATTTAAAGGTTCCGCTATAAAAATTCCATTTATTTTCTTCTTACAGTATTTAAAATTTAATTAAGAAGTACTCCTATCATAAATTTTAGCCGGTCAACGCAATTGAGTCAATTTAAATCACGGAATTTGTCCGGAAAAAATGACCGTCTGGTAACCCTGTTTAAAAACAGTACAAAAAATGAAACAATAGTACAAAATGAAGCAATCGTAGTCAACGTGTTAAATTAGTCAAGACCGTGATCGAAAAATAGTATTTAGTATTTTTCTTTGTAAACGTTTACATTGACGTATATATTGTAAAGCAATTCACTTTATAATGAGTGAATGTATTCAGTATACCTCACTCATCCTATTATTCATAGCACATCTCTTTTAAGTTTCTTATCGATGTTATCGTCTAGCTGCTTCGGATCCCCCCTAATTATTAAAATTATCTAATTCTTAATATTAAAAGTATGAAAATTATTATAATTAATCATGCCTATTTGCGAGTTTAAAATTAATATATTAAATTAATTGGATTCTTAATAATAGAATCATGAAAATTATTACAATTAATCACCCTTAATTGTAAGTTTAAATTAAAATATAAAATAAATTGGCGCACAGTTGAAAATTATTAGTATTAATCATGCTTTATTTTAAATTAAAATTAATATAATAAATAAATTGGCGCACAGTTGAAAATTATTATTATTAATCATGGTTTATTTTAAATTAAAATTAATATATTAAATAAATTGGCGCACAGTTGAAAATTATTAGCATCAATCATGCTTTATTTTAAATTAAAATTAATATATTAAATAAATTGGCGCACAGTTGAAAATTATTAGCATTAATCATGCTTTATTTTAAATTAAAATTAATATATTAAATAAATTGGCGCACAGTTGAAAATTATTATTATTAATCATGGTTTATTTTAAATTAAAATTAATATATTAAATAAATTGGCGCACAGTTGAAAATTATTATTATTAATCATGGTTTATTTTAAATAAAATTAATATATTAAATAAATTGGCGCACAGTTGCTGGAGAGCGAGAAGGCGCAGGAGGCGCTGAAGGGGGAGCTCCTGGAGCAGGAGGAACTGATCCTGAAGATGCAGGCGCTGCAGGTGGAGAACTGCGCCATCACTGAGCAGCTGCAGCAGGTGGGCTTACTTCCTGCTGCAGGTGGGCTTACTTCCTGCTGCAGGTGGCCTTACTTCCTGCTGCAGGTGGCCTTACTTCCTGCAGCAGGTGGCCTTACTTCCTGC